ATAGGAGCGTATTAAGTTTTTACTCAAAATTGAAGATGAAAGATAAAAATCGCTAAATATTTTCGTATGTGTGCAAATAGGCACACGGGTCATATTTCGAAAGAAACATGCAAGTTTTCCATGAGCGAAGAGATCTCAAGTTTCAGGGAATCTGTCATTAGGAAGCAAGACGAAAATGATAACCAAGAAATATTTGGGGACGACAGTTTAATTCAAAACAGTTCTTGATTTGGTGTTATAAGCGAAAAACGTACGAATTTCTTACGAGTACAAAGCCCACGCGGTAAAATTGATCATGCTAAGATGAGTTTACTTGACTTCACGGCCAGAAAATAATGTATCTTTAGGTTGAAAATTCTGAAGGACTACGATTTAACACAAAATCTTCTATCACACTATACTTGGCGAACACATTGTTACTCGAATATATTATTTACCGGGCCATGAAATCGTCAAATTGTCGCTAGGCCTTGCATGAAGTCCGAAAGTTCGGTTTCCAATTTACGTCCACAATCGCACCGCTTTAGAGAATCGTACTGTCGTTGACTCGAGAGCTTATTCTATCACCTTTATGACCTTGATATCCATTATTTTCCAAGGAGAGAATTCTATAGCATTGCTACTTTATATTCCGACTTCCACAAGGTCTAACTCGATCGCAAAGGAACGAAAAATCCGACTTGAAAATTTTGACGCCATATTTTCAGATTTGATCATTTAGTATGAGCGCATAGAATGATGCCCTTCTAGTACTCCCTAAAGCCATCAAAATATATGCCCAAACGACGGATTGTGATTGGTTTATTGATCTCCAAACTATAGAGGAAGTTTGGGGACTTCGTAACAGGGAAAGATACTATGATTGCGGCAGTATCACGAGGCCATCTACGGCATGATTCATAAGCATAAAAAGAGCGCATTCTTTTGATAATCTTATACATATCTGCTTATCCTTATGTCCGAGCGTCCTATCCAGCGTATTAGCTTTTATATGCTTATCCCTATGCTTACACCGCAAGTAAATATGGGGCTTAATATTGCAGCAATAGTTTTTCAATAAACATAACAGCAACCTATTGAACTTTTTTTTTCACAAACCTTTACAGTAAAATCTGGAGCAGTGATTCTCTAGCACTAACTTCTACTCAGACCATATTTTCTGTCTTTGAGGCCTAATTTAATTTTGCATCATATTCCTCAAAACGTTCACTTACCAGTCCAATACTTCTTAGAACGATTCATACCCTAGTATGGATTTGAAACATCAATTTCAATTGACCACGCATAAATTACATTGGCTTATCCAATTCACGAGTTGGCTCACAGAGCCTTTGATTTCTCAATAACTCGTGTACGTTTTAAGATTTAAACTTATACTTAGGAAAATTTAGGCTAAGTGTAGAGGAGATTCAGAAAGCTCCTCAACCTAAATCTCAACCGATTAACTTGAACCTATAACAGCTGGGCTACATTTTAGACTCCCAATACCTGGTATACTTTACTTGGACCCTGTTTATATGAACAAAAGTTGTCGTGGGTAGAAGGGTCACTCGCCTGGCCGAGCTACCCTGAGCAAGCCAACTTTTGCTACATTTCCTTTCAAAACTCGGCGAACTGTTAACACAAGAAACGAAAAGTTTGCTCGGCAAAAAAAGTGACTCACCTAGCCGGGTTAGCCATTTTTGGTGGTAGGGTCACCCACTTTGCAGGGTCAACTTTTCTCATGGCTCCTACAGCCGTGTCAACCCGATCAAAGCGAAACATTCTTGTAAAGTCTAACTGATCCAGACTGTTCATTTCGTTTTCTCTTTGAGGATTTTCGTCTCTGCTCATGTTATAATAACTTAAATTACGGTGTTTGGCATATTTAAAACCTTTGTTTGGTTCTTTCGTTGCTACTTTCCGGCTTGCTTGTTCCGAAATCTCAATTTCAATTCAAAAGAAAGCTAGAGAAATGTCCGGGAAATAGTTGGAAGTAGTACAGATTGGCAGAGGCGTGACAGCTTTAGCTCAGCTCCGTGTTTTGTGCTTTGATAGAGCACGCTCGTTCAACCAATGATAGAGCGCGCTGTATCCAAACTTTATTGCACGTAAACACTTGCCATTATCTGTCAAGGGTACTTTTACTCATTATTACATCATCAACACTACAACGGTGTGTTTTCAGAGATAGCGAAAGTATGTCTCAAGGAAGGTAACAAAGAATACAGACAGGGAGAGACTAAAAATGCTATGAACTCCTACACTGAAGCACTTCAAGTGAACTGCAAAGATAAATGGCTGAACGCCAAGCTCCATAGCAACAGGGCAGCGGCTCATTTCCATTTGGGTAAGAATTTCTTTCTTAAACTTTAATGTTTTTAATGCAGTGCAGGATAATGGTGCACACAATCTCCTCCAAGCAAAGACATGACTCTAGCAAGTGGATCACATTTTAAAATACTGCATAAAAGAAGCCGAAACCGTGCATTTAAGATACTAGCTGGACGCTGCTACCAATAGAAATACCGAGCCACACGTTGGGAGCGAGGCTAATATGAGAAACGTTTCTACTTTCTCCGTAAGAGAATCTGATCACAATTTTAAAATAGATTTTTAAGCTATCACAGATTTTTTCGGGCCTCTTCTCTGCCATTGGATTTAATGACTCCTTAGAACTTATTTCCTAAATTCTTTAGGAAACTACATGGAGTGTCTCGATGATGCAACAGTTGCTGTTCAATTGGAGCCCGCTTTAATCAAAGCCATCAAGAAAGGTGGGTTTTCGGCCAGAAGACATCAAAATGTTTTCCGTGATTTTGGCGAAAAGGAACCGCTAGGATTTCGGCGGGTGATGCACCTCAGGTATTCATCATATCTGGTGTGTCAATGTCTGCTATGTGTGTAAAAATCACAAATAAAGGTCGATAAGCGTTCAATTACATCTTAGTTGGTAGCCACTTTCCACTAGCTCTTCGTTGTCTACGTTCAGTTCTTCCACTTTTCAAATTTTCTTCATTATCATAATATTTTTCCAAGCTAAATAAAAAATTAAGTCGATTTCCTGCATACAATTAAAAATTACCTTGCACCAACAATTGTTGCCTTCTTTTCAGGAGCCAGTGCCTGTGTCGAACTTTGCCTATATAGAGAAGCAAGAAGCTGGTTGCATGTGGCATTGGCCGTATCCTTTGACGAATAATTCCAATAAACGTGATACGAGAAATAATGCAAGTAATATTTCTAGAAAAATAGGTATGTTCCAATCATATTCTTCAACATCTAATACGAGCCATCGATGTTCACTTATACCGCACTGAGCGATTCAAAGAAGCAAAAAGATTCCAAAAGAGTCCTTTCGATTATTCCACGAAAATACACATAAAAGAAGATGCCGTAATATCGAATGCACAGAGTTTACACTAAACGTTCCTCATTTCTGCCTTTGAACGAGCAACACGCTGACACCCGAGAGTTAAGAGATAATTGCGCATGACTGCTAGTGAACTAACTTCAATAAAATAAGATCTGTACAAGAATCCCCATTCGAATTGTAATTTCAATTTTTAAGGATCTATCATATATTCTCATAATTGTTAAAATTCACATTTCCATCGCATTTTCGCACATCCACTCATAATTTTTTTATTCTTGACGCGTTTTAAGATTAACAACAAAAGCAAACGTCTGCTTCATTTACTACGCAAATCTAATGCTGAACTGAAAGTTATGGCAAACAGTTATGCAAATCTCGGCAACGCTTATCATAGTCAAGGACAGTTCAAAACAGCAATCGAGTACCATCAACGTTGTCTAGAAATTGGTAAAGAAGTGGGAGACAAGACCGGAGAGGGAAGAAGTTATGGCAATCTCGGCAGGGCTTTTCATAGTCAGGGACAGTTCAAAACAGCAATCGAGTACCTTCAACGTTGTCTAAAAATTGCTAAAGAAGTGGGAGACAAGACCGGAGAGGGAAGAAGTTATGGCAATCTCGGCAGGGCTTTTCATAGTCAGGGACAGTTCAAAACAGCAATCGAGTACCTTCAACGTTGTCTAAAAATTGCTAAAGAAGTGGGAGACAAGACCGGAGAGGGAAGAAGTTATGGCAATCTCGGCAGGGCTTTTCATAGTCAGGGACAGTTCAAAACAGCAATCGAGTACCTTCAACGTTGTCTAAAAATTGCTAAAGAAGTGGGAGACAAGACCGGAGAGGGAAGAAGTTATGGCAATCTCGGCAGGGCTTTTCATAGTCAGGGACAGTTCAAAACAGCAATCGAGTACCTTCAACGTTGTCTAAAAATTGCTAAAGAAGTGGGAGACAAGACCGGAGAGGGAAGAAGTTATGGCAATCTCGGCAGGGCTTTTCATAGTCAGGGACAGTTCAAAACAGCAATCGAGTACCTTCAACGTTGTCTAAAAATTGCTAAAGAAGTGGGAGACAAGACCGGAGAGGGAATCAGTTATGGCAATCTCGGCAGGGCTTTTCATAGTCAGGGACAGTTCAAAACAGCAATCGAGTACCTTCAACGTTGTCTAAAAATTGCTAAAGAGGTGGGAGACAAGACCGGAGAGGGAATCAGTTATGGCAATCTCGGCAACGCTTTTCGTACTCAGGGACAGTTCAAAACAGCAATCGAGTACCATCAACGTTGTCTAGAAATTGCTAAAGAAGTGGGAGACAAGGCCGGAGAGGGAATCAGTTACGGCAATCTCGGCAAGGCTTTTCATAGTCAGGGACAGTCCAAAACAGCAATCGAGTACCATCAACGTTGTCTAGAAATTTCTAAAGAAGTGGGAGACAAGGCCGAAGAAGGAATCAGTTATGGCAGTCTCGGCTGTGCTTTTCATAGTCAAGGACAGTTCAAAACAGCAATCGAGTACCATCAACGTTGTCTAGAAATTGCTAAAGAAGTGGGAGACAAGGCCGGAGAGGGAAGAAGTTATGGCAATCTCGGCTGTGCTTTTCATAGTCAAGGACAGTTCAAAACAGCAATCGAGTACCATCAACGTTGTCTAGAAATTGCTAAAGAAGTGGGTGACAAGACCGAAGAGGGAAAAAGTTATGGCAATCTCGGCATGGATTTTCATAGTCAGGGACAGTTCAAAACAGCAATCGAGTACCATCAACGTTGTCTAGAAATTGTTAAAGAAGTGGGAGACAAGCACGCAGAGGGAGTCTGTTACGGCAATCTTGGCAATGTTTATGGAAGTGTCAGACATTTGGAAACAGCAATGGAGTACCTTAAACGTAGCCTAGAAATCGCAATAGAGGTGGGAAACAAGGCAGAGGAGGGAAGAAGTTACTCTCTACTTGGCCCTATTTATTGGCGTCGCGGAGTGTTAAAAACAGCAATTGAGTGTTTCCAACGTCACTTTGAAATAGCCAAAGAAGTTGGAGACAGGACTGGAGAGGCATGCTTACTTTGTTCTCTTGGAATAAGCTTTGAGTGCCAAGGAAATCTTATCAAGGCCTTTGCCTGCTTTCAATCGAGTGTAGAGTTGTATGATAACATCAGGGCCAGTCTTCAATTCAACGATCAGTGGAAGATTTGCTATCGCAATCAATACCAAACGGCATACAAAGGTTTATGGCGTACACATCTAGTTCAGGGTCAACCGAAAAGGGCTCTTCTTGCTGCAGAAAAAGGACGTGCCCAAGCTTTGAGAGATCTCATGGACACAAAATACCAGCCGTCAGACTTTTCAAGTAGCAGCAGCTTGTGCCTTTCCCTGGGTTTTGTTCCATCCAGCACAGTTTTTATAGCTATCAGTGGACCTTACGTTTACTTCTGGGTTTTCCTTAGTGAAGATAATTTCCAGGTGAGAAAGGTACATCTGAACAATTATAAGTATGAAGATGAATTGGAATTCTTTATCCAGCAACAGAACAAAACTGCCCTTAAGGAGATTGGCACAAGATATGCTGTTACATGCGGAAATCCTTCACCTGACTCGCCAAAAGAGGAGGAAGCGGTGAGTGATACGATTCGAATTGATGTGAGATACTCCCAATCATGTGCTCTACAGAAACTTTATGACATCATCATTACTCCTATCGCTGATCTGATCGATGGTGACGAACTTACATTTGTTCCTGAGGGACCATTTTGCCTTGTACCTTATGCAGCATTGGAGGATTCGAAGTCAAGATATCTGAGTGATTATTTCAGTATTCGGATGCTTCCGTCCCTAACGACCTTACAGCAAATTAATGATTGTCCACCTGACTTTCACATGAAGAGTGATGCATTTCTTGTTGGCGACCCATGTTGCAAAGATATCATCTACCAGGGAAAACGGTTGATGCTTCTTCCGGGAGCAAGGAAAGAAGTGGAGATGATCGGACGCATCCTCAATATCTCCCCCCTCACTGGAGAAATGGCAACAAAAGATGAAGTTATAAAAAGAATGGCATCGGTGGCGTTAGTACATATTGCAGCGCATGGTAAAATGGAAACTGGAGAAGTTATCCTGTCACCAAACGCCACAAGGGAAAACCCTCAGCCTCGAGAGAAAGACTACCTGATGACGATGAATGATGTCCTAAAAGTTGGGATGCGGGCACGACTGGTTGTACTAAGTTGTTGTCACAGCGCTCGAGGGGAGGTAATGGCTGAGGGTGTGGTCGGTATTGCGCGTGCATTTTTAGGTGCTGGTGCTAGATCTGTTGTAGCAACCCGTTGGACTATTGACGATGAAGGTACTCTGGAATTTATGAGTTTCTTCTACGATGCACTTATCAGGGGCATGAAGACAAGTAAAGCTCTCAATAAGGCCATGAAGTGTATGAGAGAAATTGAAAATTTCAAGGAGGTCAAGTACTGGGCACCATTTGTAGTCATTGGGGATGACGTCAGCCTGGATTTTAAGGAAATTTAGCTGCTCAACCAGGTAATTACTCTGTTTGTAACTTTTACCCAATGCAAAGTGTCCTTAAATCAAAATTATCGTTTTATGAGCGAGTATTGATACTAGGGTAGTTATTTTGGGGGTCAAGAAATTCTTTTGTTGAACAAATTTTTTCGAGCAAATTTAACTGCAATTCAATTGAGTGGAAACGTTTGTGCTGATAACGTTCTTCCTTAGAAAACAGGATAGGAGTAAAAACGAGATATCCTTTATAAAAATCCCGTTTTCCATTGTATCCTTTCATATTGTTAAGCTGGAGGAAGCATCAACGTTCCTCCCTAAATTTTGATTCTTTCTTTTTACAGTTTCGGCAGTAAGCATTGGAACTGTATCAGAGAGGGGACGAAACCCGAAGAAGTTAACAGTTGCCTACAATCGTTGATGTTTGGAGAAGAAACCAGTTAGTTGCCGATGAAATTATTTGTCAAGTCCTTTCTTTCAAAGCAGGAAGAATCAAAAAACAACCAAAGTTAGACTTAGCAAGAGTCATAAAGAATTTGCATTGATTTAAAAAGTTGATTTATTACTTGTATGAACTACTCTTACGAGCTTAAAGAATTTTGAGGTGTTTTTATCTTTGGTACCTAGCTCGAACTGATTTAAACGTTTTCCTTTTTCTTAATGCGATTTCTGGAGATTATGATGACTAGCTGTTTAATAATTATACTTCTAATCTAGCAGGGATGAAGGTGTTACCTACAATCAAAATGATGGGTGCTACTTTTAAGTTGAAATCGCGTTGAATTGAAACGTCTTGCAAACGTTTCCTACTTTTGTTTTTACGTAATCGGCTGTTACTATATAGCTAGTATAAGGTTATCAAAGCCATATGCATGTAGAGAGAATTTCCAGAAAATTTTTGAAGAATAATTAGTTGTCCGATTGCTCGACTATCTCAGTTTCACTCCAATGAAAATTGTGCCGCAATCAACTTTTAGAAGAGTTTTACCTAGTTATTGGTGATCGAGGTTATTTTTTGTGTCAGGAACAGTGCTCTATTTCTCGACTCAAAAGGACATATTCTAACGTTATGACCACAATCTGATTTTGGTATTACGAATGACTGAACATATTTTTTTCTTTTTCCTTGAATGCGAAAAAGTTGTTCTCTTTTTACAAGCAATACGATAAATTTTAATCGTGCTGTTAAAACTAATCGTAGAAGAGCAAAACGAGGGTCTAATAATTGTTACCGGCCAGTTTCAAACTTGTGTATCATATCAAGCAACGAGAGAAGAAGTTCAGAGGCTGCGAGAAAGTTGGAGCCAAATGAATGATGTATTTAGTCATTACCATTGGATTGTTTGCCCATTGTGTAAATACAATACAAAGCAGTTGACCGTCAAAAAATGAGACAAGTCGGTCGCTTTGCATTTTGTGGGAAGGGAAGGTTAGGTTACTAGGAAAATGAAGAAAATCTCTTACAACCTGCGGGTAGCAAGCAGCATGGGCCACCTATTGTCATTTGAAGGAGTGCGCGCACTCATGTCTTTTTTGCTAATGACTCCTGCCCATTTTCTTGAATAGTTTTATTGAATGAGAGATAAACTTCGGTATTTGTTATTTCACAGCTGCTAGTCTCATTGAAAGCCGTTACTTAGGATGTCAAACGAAGTGTTTAGTCCTCTTTACGTGATAAAAATGGCGTTTGATCATAATTCGCTGAAATTTTGATGGGACCCAAGAGGTGAGTGACTAATATTATTTCACCACAGGACGTTGTGTTGTAATCGCTTTCTGGAAAGTGTTCTCTGCAATGAGGCACTCTACGCAACCGGACAGGTGAAAAAGGACCGGTCTTTGCATGTGGTTTCGCATCTATAGACATGATTTCAAAGCCTACGATCCAAACTAAACTCGAGGTAGCCTGTGACAAGAAACTGAACTTTTCATAAAACTGAGGAGGGCCGGCCAAGAGTAGGTTGGTGACATGCAAAATTTGAAATTTAAAATGGTTCTAGAAGATGGCACTTCCAATTCAAATTTGGGAGTTTTTTGTTTTTGTTTGTTTGTTTGTTTGTTTGTTTGTTTTTCCGAGGGAGAACAAAAACCAAGAAACAACTTGTGGAAAAATCCTTGGTGAAAGAATGAATCTAAGACAAACGACCGTAATGAGAGCACAGTCAATGCGCACTCTTGCTATGTTGAAATAGGGATGCCTTAGGATACCGAGCGTAGAAAGAAAATGAGATTTAAAGTGATTGTAAATGGTAATCATTTAAGATAAGGACCGAGGTGAAGGCGATTATTGCTGTGTTTGCTCAGCTTCAAAACGACAAATATGCATTTAAATATTTTATCGATCCAGTGCTAAGCTGCTTCGTTAAAAGCTGCTAAAGTTGCGTATCATTTCCGTCTCATTTGATTGGTTTCTGTATATACAAGCTTTGAAATCTGAAACTTTAGGAAGATTATGTCCGCATGGCTTCGAGTTTTCCCTATCTCAAAAGTTGTTTCGTTTCTCTCTAATTCAATTTATATACAAGCCTTGAAATTCGAAAGTTCAGAAAGATTATGTCCACAAGCTTCCACAAGACTTCGAGTTTTCCCTTCCTCTGATTTCACTTCTTTTGACTGATTTCTCAGAGAATATTAATTTTCTTTTGCTTCTTTTGGCGAGATAGAGGCTGTTTCTTATCTTTTCTTTTGAATTTTTTTTGGGGAAATTGGTGCACAACCGGCCAAAAATGATACCCTTACACATGCGAGACATTTAAGTACTCTGTTGCTTTCAATACGCAGTCTATCACCGCTGACAAACTCAGCTTCTTTCACAGACTTTTTCCCTCTTCGTTCAAGCTCTTGGCGGCGCTAGAAAGTAACAAGTGGGGGTGGGGAGGGGGAGAGGGCTCTAAGAACGAGATTCGCGTGATCCTTAAAGTGCCCCTGAGATTAAAATTTTCGTACATAATTTTTTTCCATTTTCGTGTTCAGAGTGTCTCCTTCACCTACTCCGCCAAATTTCGGTTTAGACCGAGCACCAGAAATATCTTTTTTTCAGGCCTTTAAATTCACGATTTCGCGTCCGCCACTATTTGATCATGTTCCGGAAGTTGATCGCAGGACTCAGAGGAAGTGACGTCAAAGGCTCAACGCAAAAATCTCACATGGCAAAATGTCAAGGAAACATAACAGAGTGCTTTACTCTATTCTTACAAAAACTAAACAAAAATGACTGGGCATCGATGCGTAATCAAAGCTGAAGTAATCGTGCAGACCATGCTGCAGGTATTTCTCTGCATCGGAGCCTTGCAAATAGATCAGAGCGGGAAAAACGGATGCGATTTGTGCGACCTCGCCGAGTAAACTTCAATCCTACAGAAATATTTGTGATCTACTCCGAACACTTCTCGGAGGACTGTTTCGAGAGATCTGTGTACTTTGAAGGATCTAGGCGAAGAATTCTGTCGGGTTCAGTGCCTACCGTTCAAGAAGAGAAGGGACAAGAAAAACCGTCCTCAGTGCGATCTCGACGCCGGAAAGCGAAGTCTACGAACCTCCACGGATTTTGTCACCTTTACATATGAGCTGATCAATATCCACCTTTAACAACTCTCTGGCAGAATACCTTACACAAAGGAAAGTACTCGGTGAACATTGTAAATAAGAATGATAAAATAGCCGAATTGAGGATTGAGATTTCTGACCTCAAAGAGCTCACTTTTATACAAAAGAGATGAAAAATATAATTGTGTGCTCTGATTCTAAAAAAAGCTGGCTTTAATATCAGCGAAAGCAGAACAAACAGCTTAAGACACAGAGCGTAAAAACACTTTAAAATGTAGGCTTGCAGCCAAAAAACCGAGAAAATGAAAATTTCTTTAAAAACCTGTCAAACTATCAACCATCTGACAGCCAAGTCAGCGTGCTATCAAAGGGTCTCAAATTCATCCCAACGCCCGTGACAAACGAATTTAAAATCAGGCCAACTTTTGCGAGATTTATTCGCAAGACGAATGCGCCTCCGTTACACCTTTCACGGACAAAACAAAGAACCACTTCTGTTTCATATCAAACTGAATGCCACCGGTTCAGTCTTCTATCGCCCTTCAGAGCTACTTGGAAAATTGTCATAACGCTACTTGCAGACTGCATCTAAGCCAAAAAATACTTTGTAACGCAATGAGGTCACGGCTCTAAAAGAGTTGAAACAAACTCTGCTTTAAACCTCACCGAAGCAACACAACAATAGTCATCATGAATAAGACAGAAAAAACAAAAGAGGCCAAAGTGCAACTCAACAACAGAGTTCACTTCAAACCTCTCAAAGCACCGATAGTAAAAAACACGTAGGAAAGGGTTAATGAGATCATTGACCAAATGCATCGGGGAAAACACATTGATGGCTTAGAAATGGCTTTCACAAACTCCCAATATCCGCCTTCGGATACACAATTAGCCATTGCCGAAAACTATTTTTACTAATCACCCGATCATTTCTTACAAAAAAGGAAAATTCCTTACGACAAGCAAAAATACAGTTCGAAGCCGATAAAGCGATGCGACCACAAAAGCCACATGGGGAATCCGTGCCGTTCTTTGTTTATCTTTATTCGCAGGGCAAAAATTCATTGTTTGTCGGCGCAAAACTATCCACAGAAGCTTCAGATGATTTCTGGGACAATTCATCGTCTGAAAAAGTCGACATTTCCCGACTGACAACGAAACAGTGATTCTCTGTGCAGCGAACAAAGGGAGTTGTGACAAAGCAAAGCATAAGTCTGTTGAGCCTTTGACGTCATGATGACGTTTAAGCGGGCTTGGCTGGAACATGTTTTCAGCAATGGCGGACGATTTTTGAACGACTTTGAAGCGGTAAAAATTGGTCATCGAAGGTTTGTTTTGAGCTTTTAATGGCAAAAAGGGTCCTAACTTGATCCAATTCAACATTGTGTAAACAATTTAGGCCAAAATAAAATGGTCAATTTTCGTCTCAGGGGCACTTTAAAAAAATAGTATAGGCCAAATCATTTTTAACCCAGTCGGGTCAAAGGGAAAATAGGCGAGCTGCCCGAAAAGATTTGCTTCTTTCCTTGATTGCGAATATCTTTTTAATTAGTTCATGGAAACAGAAACAGCAAGATGTAGAAGGCTACGAGCTTGATTTTTCCCATCAGGTGCAACAAACAGTACTCACGTAACACAGCTTTTAAAAGCTTCATCACTATGGATCACTGTTAATTTGCCATTTTTTAATAATCTTAAATTAATTTTGCGTTATTAGAATGAGTTTAGGATATATCATATGACGACAAAAATATCATGTGCAATGAAAATTGCAAATTTAGCAGTTCAAAATCACCGGATTGTAGCGCGATCAGAGTAGAAAAAAGGTTTCCCTTAATGATCCGTTGTGTCCTCTAAGAATTGAGGACTTAACGACGACTCACATTCCAACAACATCGCTGACATTGAAGACATCGGGCCCGCATAACTCATAACTACAGGAAGGAATACGAGGCCACGTAGCGCGCCGATCAAACAACGCCTAGATACATGCCAAGCTAGAATACCTGGGCGGAGAGAGGTTAAAGTTACCGTTAGAATTTATTTTACATTAGCGATTAGTTACGCCTTAATTAGCAGCGTGCGCTCGGAAACGGCTGAGGTGTGATCTGATGAAGTCGTTGTAGGAGGAACTTTTCTGGGACCTGGGCCAACGTAACTTAACAAAACAGGAAGGAAGAAATAGCCCGTGCAGAGCACCCAGTATTACCAAGCCAACATGCATACGGAAGTAGCCTGGAAAAAAATAAGTAAATTAAAAGGAAAACTGATTTAATTTGGATTCAACATCTAAATGCACGGTTCACGACTGAAACATTTCGCGAGGTCATATCGAGGCTAAGCACAGATAGGAAACAATGTCAATATTGCATATTAAGCGTCAAATATTGTCACGATAAGATCAGCGCAAGCGAACGTATGGACATTGGTAATGTATAAGTATGGACAAGAACAAAGTAGATCTTAGTAAGCTCTCTTAACAGAGGCAGGAAGAAGAAATACAGATGTTACAAGCACGGTAAGTCGACACTAACTCTTGCAGATTTTTTCAGACAAATTTTAACCAACCATCAGCGGATAATCCTCAACCAAATTAATACGTGGCAGTGAAACGTGACATTTTCAAATGTAGAGAATAAAGGCGGGTAGTTTTTAAAGAAACTGAGCTGCTGCGTCGGGGTATTACATGATAATTTGGTTTCTTAAACTGAGTTGATTAAGTGGCTACCGTAAAGAATTTCTAAGCTGACGTTTCGAACGTTAGCCCTACGTCAGAGCGAATGATGGAGGGTTAACGCTCGAAACACTGGCTTAGAAACTCTTAACCAACTCAGTTGATAAAACCAAATTATCGTTTTATACGATACCATCTTGCTGGGACACAAAAAGTTTCCCTATCCAAAGCTTTGACGTTAATTAAAAAAAAAAAAGGAAGATTAATGATAGCTTATTGAAAGAGTAGCAAAGTTGTTGTGGCACCGCTCTATAAGTTCTTGTATAATCCTCGGTTGTTTAACTTTTAGCCGCCATTTAGGAGGATTGTATTATATTATATTCCTCAGCAACGTAAGGGTAACCTCACTTTCAAAACGAGGCCAAGCGTAAAAACCTAACGGTGAAAACAAAAGACACAGAAAGAGTTTTATTTTTGCCGAGTTAGGAGAAATGCTAAACTGAAATATTTCAGACTTGGAAAAGTAAAGCACTAATATCCCAGAAAACTTTGTTAATGTAATTCCACTCAAAACCTGAACAAAAAAAAAAAACAAAAAAATTGATTGTTTGTTTTTATTAAATGTCAATATACAATAATAAATTCAATGCATGCGGTCAAGTCTTTCAGGCCTGGTCACTAAGGCTGACACCCAGAAAGTTATAACTGACTGTCGAGAGGAATCCAGGTCTGCATTGCTCTTGCTTAACTACGCCCTGTGATTGGTCTAGAAAACTCGCCAAATCCTCTCAACCAATCGGATGCTAAACGTTACCCAATGGTGACTTAGTCAGCCAAGACTTCCCCGCGCTCTTGCTGGACGCCTCAAGTTTTTGGCGTCAAAGATAGTTACCCAATATTTAGAAACTAACTTCCTTCAATACAAAGTGAACATTGCACGCAAATGGATGAAAATGGCTGCAACAAATTAAGAAATGGAGCAATACTGGGTAATGATCTAAAGGACACAGAGTTTGCTCAACAGCAAACTTAGCCTTGCAGAAGCTTCAAGAATGTTTTATCTTTGCAAGCTGCTTTCTACAGCTACAAAGCTATCTGCAAAATTTTGTATGTTGTGTGCTCCAGGAGATATAGCTACAGATATTGAAAGTTAAGCACACCATAACTTAAAACTTACTGAGCTGCCCATTTTCGCAGCAGCTTCCTTAGCTCTTTCTACTCGTGAGGGATGTGAATTAACGGTAAACGCCCGCGCAATATGCGAGCAAAACTCTACTCATGATATACCCAACGCCTATGATGAAAACAAAATTGTCTTGGTTATAAAATAACTAATAAAGGACAATGGTTTGTCAAAAAGTATGTGTCAAAACACACTTAGTCGAAACAAAACCAGCAAGGAATGAGATCGTTTGGATCCGATTTTTTTTTTATTTTTTGGTTTTATCATCGCAACGAACTTCAGTTTTGAACTGCAGAGTGTGAGTAACACCTGAATAGGCATATTCGCAATAATGCCTCGTAATGTGAATTCGCAATAATGCCTCCTCCTTTTTCTTATTTGCTTTTAAAGTTTGTATGAATGTTTCAATTTATATTCGTAAATTTTGCTTGAAAGCAGTTGTTTGCGATAATTTTCCTAAGCTTAGTGCGGGAAATTGGCACTCACCTGCCTGACCAATTTGCGTATACTGTAAGTTTAACCTGTATTCAAACATTTAACTCTGCTTTTTTAAAACCCTCAGCTATTTATACATACATTACAACGTTAACAAGTGAGACGGCGTTTAGAAAAATGTTCCAAATGTAGATCAGACCCATCAAATTGAAAATGATGAGAGCCACTGTAAAGGTCACAATGATCACTATACTCAGATTGAATCCCAAGTGAAGGAAGGTCACAACGAAGGTGGCAGCTAGAAAAAAGAACAAGGACTAAGAACCATTTTTACTAAGAGTCGAAAACAATCCGAGATCGCTTTGCTTTCGCTTTACTGTGATTGGTCCAGAAAACTCGTACCACTCTCTAAACCAATCAGATGCAACTAAAACCAATCACAAGTTGATCGCTCGCGTTTTCCCGCAGCGTAAAGCAGTTTGGTTGGTTTTACATTGAGTTCTCATTGGCCCTTTCCGGTATTTTCCTTTCATCTAGAAGGTCGTTGTAAATACTTTGGTTTTGGATTGACGTCGCTCAATCAAAAAACCGTTCTCTCAAGATATCAATATTTGACGGCAACAAGTATCTTTTAGAGTCAATAAAATCATTCAATGGTATCTACAGTTAACAAACATCCGGAATAACAATCGTATAACTCGATGTTTTTGTTTCAAATCACATCAAATTTACCTTAAAATAGCAATTTGGCACTTACCCAGATCTGAAATTTAATAAACTGAGCTGCACAATACAAAAGATTTTCTCAAGTTTCCTTTTCAACCGTAAGGTATTGTTCGTAGAAAACGTACATACGCTATCAGACAAAAAAAAGAGGAAATAAACAAAAAGGAATTACATGATGGTGCTTACGGGAAATAAACAACTTTCAAGACAGCGATATTAAGCCAGGCTTGTCTAGTTCAGCTTTAAAGCTGGTGGAAATGGAGGCATACACAAAGAACAACAAGTACAAGCCACACCACCGGAGCTACGTTCCATACTCTTTGCGAGACGTGCTGAGTTCTTAAACGCCCTCTGCTGACCAGTACAGAGAGAACGCGGGATATGGGGCTATATCCCAAGCTCATGTTGTTTGGTCGCGTACAGTGGCACCAATTATTAATTAACAGCGTTTTCGTCAGGTGTAGCATTTATGCAAGGACGGCTTACATGGTCTACAATTATGGTACATCATTTGTAGTTATTGTGCAAAGCAATACCATGTCACACTTCTTAGTTAGCTTGCAAATGAGTAGGTCCGGGATTGGTCAACAATTCCTCGAATTTATTTCCTAAAACCCTCAGAATAGACGCCACAAGCTTCTTTTTTAGAGCAGCGTTCATTCTTTTTTATTCTTTACATTTTACTCCCATCCGCGGCGATTAACCAAGGGCAGTATTTCATCGAGGGTTCATCGTTATGTATTTGGTGTATTTTCTTACCTGTATGGGAACACTTCCACACCAAGTGTCTTTGAGATGTTCTTTCCAATTTTACGTACGCTCTTCAAAGCTGCTGTGTATTCTGGTGACGTTTTCAGGATTGTGTGGTAGAACATAAAGTAAGAGGCTGGAAAAGAAAAAAGTGAGGAAGGGACATATTAATAACTGACTCTCTTAAACAAAAGGTTAAATTGCTTTTACATTCGATTTTGGACGCTTTGCGGTCCAAGTTGCAAGGAAAACTAGAATATTTTTTGCCATGTACTTCTGTTTGAAGTTCGAGTGTCGAATGTAATATTTTTGTTGTTGTGGTCGCTTGTTTTCTTATTACAATAAATCTTTTTTTCTTCATTCACAAAACATTTCCATTCAGATACTTCTTTCAAGCGGTCGAAAAATTTACTTTAGCAGCACTTCAGATTTCTATGTTACTGGTGATAGTCATTTTCTGAAAATTCACTCACAAGCCTCGTTTCCACTCAAACATTCTCAGACATTTTCCTCTCTCTCTTTTTTATCGTGTAGTATATTATTTTAATGGCAGTGTTTTGGTAAAACTCTCCTCGCACAAATTTACCAGTCGGTACCTTGGAAGTGAGGTTAGGGGAGGAAATAGGGTATTCCGACGGAAGTGTTTCAAAGCTGACGTTTCGAGCCGGCTATAGCCCTTAGTCAGAACGATGACGAAGGGCTAACGCTTAAAACGCCAGCTTTAAAACTCTTCACGGTGGCCAAATTACGTTACAACATAGCTAGCAGAGCCACGCAATCAAATTCAGTGTACGTAAGCGCAGACCTTCCAGCCCCCATTACATCCAAATCTGGAGGTTTTGAAAAATAAAGCCCAGAAAAACCTGGAGATTAGGACCTCAAACCTGGAGACTTCAAAAATATGCGTCAATTAAAACAACAACTACACATTATTTGTTTCATAGTATTCTTTACCTTATTAGTGCTCTTTGTTGTACTCTTTTGCTGTGGGTGTCTCGGTGCGCCTGCGATCCTCTGGTGGTGGGGAGGATCGCGGGCGCATCGAGACACCCACGGTCGGCTGGAGACTGAGGCCAACCCTAACCGCCATTTCCCTCACAGATTAGTTTTGTTAAATTCGGCTGTTATGAGCACAGACTTCTGGATATTACTTTGTACCTTCCGGTATTGTTTGACATTTGTAAGCCTTTCTGATTCACCGTGAGATTAAGAGGCAAAACCGTGAGACCGCGAGTTGGCATCGCAAACCGTGAGTCTCACGGTCAAACCGTGAGGGTTGGAAGGTCTGTAAGCGTGCTCAAAATCCCTTTAGTGCACGCTGATAGCGTGAGCAAATCGCTTTGCGAGAATTTTTTTTTTTTCGCGTGAGCGGCCATTGTTAGCACGGGGAACTATAATACAATTCGCGTCAATAGCCGAGGGCAACTCTAGCTTATTTCGTACTCTCCTAACTTCTCACGTGCTCCATAACTCGATGGTGCACGCTAAAGCATGAACCAATTGCTAATTATCAACTCAGTTAATAAAACCAAGATTACTTTGATACTCCCACCGACGCAGCATCACAGCTTCTTTAGAAACTTATCCCTTTATTCTGGCGATAGGCATAACACTGACCCAACACATATACATACACAACGAATACTCACCCTGGGTAGGGTACTCATCATTTTTGTCCCCAAGCCGGAGAGCATCACCATATGCTGCATGATCCCTGGAGAGGGAAATACAGTGGTGCACATAGAGTAAAAGTTTACCTGAAGTCATTTCTTCTTCGTTTATGGGAAAAGATTCTTTTTAAGTAGGGAGGGGGTTCTTAACTGTGTGGATAGATCATTTCAAGTGTGAGTAACCAGTTACATGCGGACTCTGTAACCTGAGAGAGCATCCACTTGGAAACTGAATTGACAAATCAGACCACTCTAACTTATGATTAGGAGAATTTGGTATCTGATCAACTACTGTAATAATTCCCTTGTTGATATTTCTTTTGATTCTCAACACTTGTCCCCTTGATATTGTATTGCCATTTTAAGGAGAAATTTTGTCTTGCTCACTCTCCGGAGTTAAAAGGTTACATTAAACTTGAATTCCTCACCCTTTGGTGCATTTTGTCTCTGGGTTATCCTTGAGATTAAATGGCAGGAACTTATCGCACTGCTTGGGGGTCGGTCTCCAACCCTTTTGGCTTAAATTCAGGCACGGTTTGCAGAAATCATCATCAACTACTAAAACAAAAGGAACAGAAATAAGAAATTTCACTGAGGTAAGATATTAACAGTGCTCAACACTAACGGCAGCCAACTTGCCCCAGACCAGTAGAAATTTAGTTTTGTTAATGGTTTTCGATTTCCACTAGCTAGTTTAGCTAGTGAAAAAACTGAAATTGTCCTAACATCTAAGATGTCACAAGCCACTTGGCTAGTAACTTGAAAAGTTAGCGTCGAGCCCTGCATTAAGAAAGACTGGTACTGAGTTTTTGTAAGGATTCCTTAATATACACACAACATCCAGGGTACAACAAGCTTTGTTTGGTTACATAATCTGTAATTTGTAGCTCAAGGCTTCTCTTTAAGTTCCTCCCAATCTCTATTTAACTAGTAAAGAAAAATGTCAAGTTTGTATTCTAGCCAAATATCCCATGCTGCCCTGGGTTATCCCAGTTTCCACAGCATGAAGCAACTAAGGGTATTAATACTCTTTCCTGGAGGGGTTGTTCATCAGTTTGATCAATTCCAAGCTTCAACAAACCCTTCTCCTTCCCCTCCCCCCTCCCCCCGACAGGCTATGGGCAATTGATATCTGCCCCTTGGGGTGCCCTAGGGGCTGGGAATTTGAATCTTGCTCGGCTGGGGTGAGGAATTTAAACTGGTCGTTTCAAGTCATTCCAGGATATCACAAGAATGTAAGCACTCACCTCAGGTTGCATTACAGAAGACAAACGGTACCAGATGACAGGAGGTGCTGGAGTTGTTGTATTAGTTGAGTTATGTGGCATTACTGTTGAATGGAAACACGTGTCGTTAACTGTGTACTTTATACAACAACATGAGTTCTCCCTGCTAGGTTCAAGCCAGCTGAAATAGTCATCTGACCAAGAACATGCCGACATAGCTATCTTGGATCTGGTTGAATTAAAAACAAACAATTTATTGAAACTGATTCCTCTACGAATACACTGTGAAACTCAGAAAATCAATATCTGTAGAAAAAAAAGTCTGAAGTCTGATTATTTCCTGGAAAGCAAGCCAATCAGGTGAGCATAACTTTAAATGCATGCAGTACCAATAATTGGTCAAACACGTAAATCCACATAAATATTTGTGTAAACAATGCTCATGACTGTTTGCAATAGAGCTAACCCCATAGTCCACCATTTCAATTGCATCCTGGTTGTAGTCAACCCAACAGCAGACTATAAGAAATCTAAAGGAACTTACCCCTCAGGTATCAGCTAGTGAAGCACTGTAGATTTTTTGTACTGAAGAAAAGGACCCGTAGCCTGTTGAGCCACAAATCTTGTTTTGTCCAGAAGGATGTTCATATTCATGGCCTCCATTAGTCTCAAAATACACAGGTGGACCTACATATTAGATAAAGTTTCATGTCCCTGAACCAGTCCAGAGGTTAGGAATCCTGTGCAGGAAAAGAAACAAACATGTTGACCTTTAAACTCTCAAGATCTGATGTAAATTCTCCTCTCTTACTGCTACATATTTCCTTTTAACTCTTCAACCTCCAAGACCCAATTGTTAATTCTCTCTTCTGGCTGCTACACATTTCCAGGTATATAAGTTACAAGAATTTGGTGTTAGGTCTCTCATTTGAGTCAGTCAAAGAAAAAACAACTTGACGTCACGCTTGATTATTAACCCCTATGCACGTACAACCAGTTTTCATTACCTTAGGCAGCACTTGAAAGTACTGAAAAAACATGCACATGTAGCGAGACACTGGGAAAAATTTTAGGGCACCCCCTTTCCAGGCCCAGTTGTATCGGAAGGGCAGATAATGCTCTCGAACAGATAAATTACTTTCTGGCAGATCAAATAATAAATAAATAAATATTCTGCCTGATCTTGTTAAAAACTCTTGACTCCGCGTCAAATTGGAATTTGGAATATTGATCTCCATAGCAATGATAGACTGTGCCCTTGCAAGATGGATCTTCCTAGAAATTCCTAGGATTATCCTAGGAATTACTGGGAATAAGAGGTGTGAAGTTTTACAGTAAATTCAGACTTGGAATTCCGAGGCAAAAAACCTAGAAATTCCCAAAAATTCCATGTTTATAGCCAACAGGACATTCAGAGCACCAATGACTTCCCTGAAATACTGTGAATCTAAAAACTTGCTAGGAATTCCTAGGAATTTTTAGGACTTTCTAGGAATGTTGAAAAATTACTAGGGATTTTAGGAAAACTTTGAGGCAACTATTAATTAATATCAAATAAATACATGCATTAACTCCCAGCTAAAAATTCAAGTAGTCAATGAAATCTATTTACAAAGTCATGCTTAACTCGGGTTTACATGTCAATTATTTGCTATTGTATATTAACATTGACATGTAGTAATATTAGAATGAAATTTGATTTCTTTTTCTTTTCTTGAAAACTTCATAGAAATTATCCTCGATTACAGTTATTTGTTTAAAATAGTCCTAGTGAATCATTAAATTTGGTTTGACACAAATTGTGAATAAAATCTAGCTGTTGATTCTTTTTCATGAAATGCAATAACTTGAGTTATAATTATTGCAATGACTACTATCAGTCAAAACATAGTCTTGAAAGGAATCATTTCATTTGGGATGATGATACAAATGACATTTTATCCTTTCCTCCCTGAGTCAGGCTTTGACTTAATTTTATGTGGTTGTAACTTCTTTGGATAAAACTCTTGTGTGTTAAAATTCAAATGTAGGCTGTTCATGCTATGCTGTTTGTTTTGAGGAAGTATAAGAACTTTTATTAAAAACTAGATCATTGGATAATGCAATTCAAGACTTTTTATTGGCTTAGCCATTATGGTATATCAGCCAATATACCATAATCTACAAATATGGCAAGCGTACGTGTCAGATTAAAATTAAAAGGGAGCTAAAAATGGAATAAAATTTAATTTAATTTAACGTTTTTAATAAAACAATTATTCCACTCGCACTTGTTGGATATGAGATGATTATAGCCAACTCGGCGCTACGCGCCTCGTTGGCTATCTATCATCTCATATCCAAGGCGCGCTCGTGGAATAATTGTTAAGTAGATGATCAGTGTACCAGTACCCAAATCAACAAAGTTGGACCGTAACAAGTGTTCAGCAACACGTTCCAACACAACCATCTCGATTCCCTAGTCTTTTGCTTCCACTGAACTAGCAGCAGTGCCAACAAAGTCAAGTGCGTCTCATAATGAAGAAACATTTGTACAAGAGAAGGAAGCGATTATAGTATGTTAGAATTCTTGCCTACAAATGGATGTGCACATTCCGAAGCGTTGTCCCATGCTTATGATTATGTTTATGTTTTATGATTTTAGCACATTCTGTGGACATGAGATTTTTCATCACAATAAAAACTTTTAAGATTATGGAATCCAAGAGGCCTTTGAGGTTAGAAAGCAAATCTGTGATATGAGTTCATTGGATTCAAATCGATAATTTGCACTTACTTTAATTGACTGCTGCTTTATGAAAAAAATGCATATTAATGTTAAGATTTACTAAGACTTAGTTTAAATAATGAATTCCACGATAAACATGTACAGGTATATACATCTCTTAGTACAATTTGTATAGCATATCTTTTATTGAACCAAACTTTTAAGCCTCTAAAATTACTCCTTGTCTTACATTAAAACCTTTACATTCAAGGTATTGAGAATTTCTTGGAGTTATTTGGATTTCAGGGTTATTTAATTTGCCTCAAATTCAATTCCCAGAAATTTCCAAGAATTACACCCTTCTTAACTGACTTAAAGGTAGTTTGTATAGCTGTGAATTCCAAGGAATTCCTAGGAATTCCAAGTCCTCACAAAACTGGAACCTTCCTCTCCCAGAAATTCCCAGTAATTCCAAGATTATCAAATCAGAGCTTTTTTGCATAGTTGAGAATTTTTTGAGAATTCCTAGAAATTTCTTTCTCTGGAAATTCTGTTTGCAAGGGTGGAGACAGGATGTGACAAGTGGATGATAAGCTGCTCAATGCAATAGAAAGGCTAAAAATTGGAATCAAAATGGTGATTTTCTCTTTGCGTGCCATACTGTCTGGAGCAGACCACTGGTAGTGACAGAGAAATGGACAAATCCACTAGCAAGACTTCCAACAATGAGAAGAAATCCCACCACGACAGAAAATGGGTGGGATCGAGCCACACAATCCACCCGATTTTGTGAATCACCACATCAAAGGTGACTCTAATTTGCTACCCAACTGCTCACAACAATCACTGGATACTTTTAAAGTTTTACTAAAGACACATCTTTTTAATTTAGCTTTCTATTAGTTCTTTTATCAATTCATATTTTACCTTTATTGTTTTACCAAAAAATTGTAAATTATTATTATTACTATTATTTATATTATTACTATAATTATTAGGATTAGCCTCATTGCTGTAAGATTTTTAATGTTGTAATGCACATTGGATCATGTCTTTTATTGCATGTTAGACTGCGCAATATAAGAAATAAACATTATTATTATTATTATTATTAATATTATTATTATTACAACAACCAGGTAAAGAATCCCCTGTTTGTGGCAAGGCGCGCGAGCCTGATATTGGAGGGTAAGTGCCGTTGTATCCCTGAGGATGGTCAGGCACTGAGTGGCATAATCATTTCTTCTCATCCACTTGAATACAAAGCTGACTATTAAAGGCAAATCACGAAAAAAAAACAATAGACTGTGAGAAAGCTAGAGGAGAGAAGATCCAATCCAAGAATCTTGGTAGGGCCGGGGTACTTTAGGCAGTAAAGTAGGATGCACAGGGCAAGAACACTGACAGTCTAATCGCAGCTACAAAGGCCTGCTGTCCTGTTTGTTTGAGAGTCGACAAATGGCTGGTTACATTTAAAAACAGTTTGGTTCCTCTATGGAACATTTACAATCAGTTTGTCAGGAAAATGGATGGTGAATGGTGCAAACCATTACTTGTGTTTCCCATGTATGCAAGAAGTTTACCTGGAGTGCACTGCTTGGCAGTGGTGTCAAAATTTGATTGTTGATTCGAGTCTCTCTGTCTTCCTGAAAATTTGGTGTTAGATCAAGATAACACTTCTATTTGATAATTTTGAGTGTTAATTCTCAGTACCTGTTTGCTGGATAATGTATGGATATTATAGGGAGAAGTTAGGTGTTCATCACTAGAACTCTTCTTAGTTAACAACTGAGTGGGGTGTGTGACGAAGGGTGCCTTACAAGCCTGTCCTGCCAAAATGCTATTATCCCAGTTTCAGTGACACAAACTCCCAGAAGTAATTAACATGCCACTAATCTCGCTATATTATCTAATTATCCAGCCTGATCCTTTACCATTGTGACCTTTATGTTAAATTCAGGGGTGATATTGTAAGGACAAATTAGATGCTGGTCACTTAAGAGACTATATTGCTCCAGCTAATACCTTGTATGCTCTTGTTACAGTCATATGGAGCTTTCCCAAGGCCTCCACACATATAACCATCCTAAAAACATACCACTGGAAAAAAAAAAATGCACTTCAGTGTAGTCTATAGGAAATAGCATGTCTATGGTCTTGCAAACAAAAATTACAACTTTTTCATTATCGGCCGATTGATTAGGAGACAAAATTTAATGGCTTAATTCCAAGTGAAACATCAGGTGAATTACCATATGAGTGTACTTTAGAAAATGACTTGTCTGGTATATATTACCAAATGAATAAATTTAAGGGGGTAAAATCCTAAAGAAGCTGTGGTGCTTCATCAGTACAGGATAATTTAATAAAAATAGAGGATATTACATGGCCGCGCGGGGATACAAATTTTATCTCGAGTGCTGAAAGTATCTCTCACGAGTGAGCACAGCGAACGAGTGAGAGATACTCTCAGCACGAGAGAATAAAATTTGTATCCCCAAGCGGCCATGTAATGTCCTGTTTATTATATAGATACTGATGAAATTTCCACATAAAAGACAATTTTTTAAATCATTTTTGAAACAGCAATTGGATAATTATGTTGGTAACCATGGCCACACCAATATCCTCACACATGAAAGATAAAAATTATAGTATCTTCGCTGCTTCGGTGAAGATATGATTTTTTAATAAAAGGAGAAATCCTGGTATTTCATCAGTATCTATATAATAAAATCAGTTTTATGAACTGAACTGATGATGTGAATCCACCACCATAAGATAGTTATGCTTTGTCAGAGTGTCAATTAGGGCTAAGGCTAAAAAATGTCAGTTTTAGAGACTCTTTGCGGTGATCAATTAACATTATCAACTTACTCAGCTAATAAAACCAAATTATCTCATTCTATCAATGTCAGCATTTCAAGAATTTATGACAAAAAAAATTTATATAAAACTACAATCAACTGATTAACAGTGTACAGTAACTTTAGCCAATTAATTAAGAGGGCATTTACAAAGTGTGTTTAACACGATAACACAAATCATGTATATGTGCTATTTACTGAGCAGGGTGGTTTATATATTTTAAGGAAAAAAAATATATTCCTGACATAATGAAGCCAAAAGCAGAGGGGCCATACTTGACTCTTTCACTCCCATGATCCCCATTGTAATTCTCCTCACCTCCAGCCATACAATTCTTACCATGTTACTTTGGAGAATTTTGAATTCAATTTGGATCACCTAATAATCTCCTAGTTGATATTTTCCTCTATTCTCATCACTTGTCTACTTAATATTGTATTGATATTGCCAGGAGAAATTCTGTCTTGGTCACTGATGGGAGCCTAGGGGTTAAGACTAAGCCAGGACATTTTTTTTTTTTCGTTTTTTCTGCTGGTTTTCTCTTCTCTACTTTGCCCCCATTAGCACTGAAAACAATCCGAAACCTGGTTTGTACCAGTTACAGGCAAGGAATTGGCCAAGTGGATTTCAGGATTCAAGATTCCCACAGATGATAAATACAGGTATAATGTAAACAATCCTGAGCATAAAACTTTCAGGAATCTAGACCTCATCTGCATTTAGTCCACTCTCAAGTAGATAAATTGCCATAGCAACCAAACAGATCAAAATCAAGACAATAACAAAATTCTGGAATGTGATTGGTCCTCACCAGCTTAATAATTTGAGCCCTAATTGGGTAGTGTACATGTTGTGTAATTTAGACAGTTTTATGAGATAGTGTGCCTGTGTAATTAGACAGTATTGCATATGAGGGCTCACTGTTGCTGCCACACATTTCACAGAGTTAACTGTTGTTTGTTTATGAATTAATGAATTGATAGCTTGATTTTCGGTAATAATTATGACTTCAATGTCCAATTCTTTGTGTAATCAATTATTCATAATTAAAAATTAACAATTTTCTGAATCACTTGGACAACTGATAACAGACTGAGTTGGACTCCACTCAGTCCTAAAACTGTTTTTAATCCAATGTGTTATTTGAGTGTGCTCAAAAACACATCAGCAAGTGCTGAGTTTCATCAGAGGGACAGAGAAGAAATAGTTATGTGTAATCAGCTATGTTATATTTTGCCTAAAAATTTTGATCTTGAATCTACAATTTAGCAGTGTTATCAGGGTTGCCACTAAGTGCCGGCTGTCAGCAAAACTTTACTGGATGATGAAGCAGTGATCATCAGCTACATTTTTGGCTGGTGATGGCTTGGTATTAAGCAAAACAGGCTCTTCCAAGGTTACACACAATTGTTCACTATCTTAATGAGCTGTCTCACTTGAAATTTCATCCAGCAGCATAACTTCTTAGCTACAACCCTGTGTTAACTGCATACCTTCTGAGGCCCAGTAAAAGAATCCTGGGTTTTTTGTCACTGCTGGAGAGTTCATCTTGATCCTTTGGGTCATTCCTAAACATATATAATAAAGAAAATTTTCACAAAACAGTGAGTTGTCTACAATGCAGCAATAGAACTGGCATTCTTAAAGAAATGTGTCAAAGAGGAAGAATTGAGTCTAGACAAACAACCAATTAATTTCACCACCACTGTTTGGACAGCCATCTGCATGGCCACCCACATGACCATTCTGAGCTCCCAGTAATGATTAATGCATAACTTTTCCCTATAATGTCCGTATATTATACAGCGAACTGGTACTCAGTGAGAATACTTAAACTTATCAGGAACAAGTTTTTAGCTCAAAGATATTAGCTCGTTAGCTACTATAAAACTCAAGTATAAATAAAGTTTATGTATGTTATGTGTGTATATTGATCTGATGCCACATTCTCATGGCTTAAATTAATTTACGAGGAAATGTGTTGCAGCGATAGAGGTAGAATCAAGAATCAGATCATGCGTGTCGAAGGGCCATGTAACGTAAACGCGCAAACGAAATTTGTACTATAATACCTCTTGGTTGTGTTGAGGGAAGAAAACTTGCATTTCCTATCGTTCACTATGACAAAAGTTACAGTCGATACAAACTGACAACTTACCCGAACCAACCCCGCTTTGACTTCCAAAGTTTTCTTTATCCTCTAATTAACCATTACGGGCATTGGATGAGAATAATTTACAGGTATATGCCGTCACCTTTGAGGAAATCGTCTTCCACACGATTTAGCTCACGAGTAAAATTTTCCTTTGATCATGCGACGGTCAGTCACGTTCAAACAAGCTTCCGGTGTCGAAAAATAACGACTCAAACCGAATTGCTCAGGAAGCGGCTTTGCTAAGTCGGCTGTGAAAAATTCTAGACTTCGGACTAGGGACCATGCGTTAGTTCAAAGTAGGAAATGTAACGGAATTTGGTCTGAAATATGAATTAGTGATCAAATCCTCTCTTGCAGGCGGAGGGAATATATCCGGGAGCTTGGGCGCCTTGATACACATATTTCGCATTTCTTTGAGATTTAGGCATAGTTAGTAGACCTTCCATGGCATTTCAGTTACTGTAAAACGGTAGAATCTGGTTACGAGATTAGGAACAACATTCTCTTTCAAATGTATTCAGCTCATTGGGTTTGTCAGGCGGCGAGAATCTTTGACTTTCCGGCCCCTCCCTCGAAATCTGAACGAACTCTTGCAAACAGGAAAACAGCTTGAAACAGCCGCGACGAGAAAGAAAGAGAGAGGAGACTGGGAACGAGACTGTCGACATTACGCTCTCCTGGAAAGCAAACGTCTGCGGGGCTCAGAAAAGCAGTCATAATGGCTTCAGATGCGACAAATGAGAACGAGTAAGTGATAAATATTGTGAAAAAAATTGTTATAACTTGTTAATTTGTACCATCAATCGAACACATATATTTCGTTCAAGAAGTTTCCGTATGATTCCGTAGACGAACCGACTCGGTGGCAGGCGTTTCAAACCTTCCCAAGTTGGCAAGAGAATAAAAGAAGAAAATGTTTGGTTTCGTCACTCTCGGTTGAATTTTACCATTCTCGATGAAATAAGCAAACCATAATAACAACAGCACGCAGGTTTATTTTTGTTGTAAACCTTATGTCGCTTTATAGCTGCAAAAATATGCGATTGAAAGAATTTCAAGAATTTACATTTACGTGACTAGACTAGAATTTTTCAAATTTACATTTAAATTTACGTTTCAGAATTTACATGTTTAACAGACAGTTTACCTTACTCACCATTATTATGACAAAATTATTAAGTGTGATTGATTGTCAGCAGCCCTGTTTGTGCACTGACAGCATGATGTCTACCTCATTCTTAAATGGGAAGTGTAAAAGGACATTTAGGTTTCCATTTCGGTCAGAAATCTAGATATTCTCTTGAAGAAATACTAATACTATTGATTAAAAAAAAAATGCACTCTTGATCGACGGTTGCACGATTACAGACCGAATCGGACACCACTCGCTCTTGTTATTATTCACTGGTTCCCTGCCCGTTCTTAAAAGGAATAGGTCAACAACCGTTTAATTATTCAATTCTAGATGCATGTGGAAAGCTAAATATTTATACAGCACAGAAAACCCTGGCGTAACTATTTATAAAAATCTTTCAGTGAAGCTTCTCATTAGCTTTTTTTTTTTCTCTTTTTTTTTTTCAGTACCCCATCTAAGATACTGTCGTCTTATCGTGCCCCATGCACAACGTTCTCGATAGGGCTTTTCTTTGCTGCATTCCTGATAAAACGAACCTACCGTTGTGGATGTATGACCGAATAATTTTTTTTCTCATATTGTAGTTGTGTGAAGGCTCTCAAACAGAGTAGACAATTTGATTTTGGATGTCTTGCTCCTGCAGTGAGTGTTCTGTTATATTACGTAATGTTCGTAAATATTCGTTATCATTAATAATGATAATGGTTATGAAGATTATGATAACGATGATGATTGGTTTGATGGACCACTAGAGTTATGTAGGCAAGCTTGGATTTTCAGTATTTATTACAACAAGTGGCGGCATAATCCAAATCTGTTTGGAAACCAACAATCGTTGCAAAAAGTTAAACAGTTTAGAGCGAGAAAAAAAAAAAAAAAAAACTAGCAATACGTGTCGGTATCGCCGCAACATTCCGGCAATAAGTGTAATATTTGGCTCTGGGAATTAATTTTTCTTCTCAATCGGTGGCGCTTGTGATATTTATGAGAGGTGATTCATTTTGGAAGATCATCTAATGTTTTTTCTTTTTTTTTCTTTTTTTTTTTTTTTACAGTTGGTTATAATTTTCGTTCTTTCATTCCTGAAGCGACGCACCAAGTTTAAATTGGAGCTCTGGGATGGGCGTCCTGGACTACTGATGTATGTTGCCCTTGTATGAAAATAATTAACACTTATATCATTGCAACTGTAAAGATTTGAACGATATGGATCACCATGCACATGCGCATGCATGCACGCACACAAACACAAACACATGCACTCATTCGCACACGTGTACGCAGACAAAAACCTTTGCCTTGGCGTTTTGTTTCATCGGAACTCGTCTTGGCTCGCGTTTTGCGTTACAATTACTCCCTTATTATGACAAATCTTCACATTGCAAATAATTCAAATCTAGACAGGTACCCGCAAGTAAAGTAGTAAAGTTATTCCAAACCAGTCTACCTCAAATATTCAAAAGCCACAGGTTCAAAGTTGAAAACTTGTCTCCAAGACTAGTTTATTAAATGCAGAAGTGTTTTTAAATTTTCAGCAAAGGTGCTAAATTGTTTAAACTTATGACCAACTGACCTACGTTCTGGTTTTTGCAATATCAATCACCTTTATCGACAACTGTGTTCTTTTTCAGTCAGTTGCCCCCCGTCCCCCCCCCCTCTTCCCCTCAGTAATCTCGTAACCAGATCCCTACAGTGTAACTGTGACCTTACAACCACTTGGCCGTGGAAGGTCTAGGTACGAGACTAGTCCAATTCCTTTGGTTTGACCGTCGCTTGCCCTCTTGGCATGCTAAGTTGTTTTCTGCATAGGATGAAAACGGAAAAAAAAAAAGAAAGAACGAAAGAAAAGCAGCGGCAGTAAACTTTTCCATGGTGACAACAGATCTGCATTATTCCTTCTCAGACCGATGAACTTTCTTGGCGGTCTTAGTAACAGATGGACCATTGCTTTCACGTTTGGAGCCACAGGCAGCACTGTTCTGACCATGGCATTGGGTGGAAAAGGCAGTATCTCGATTATCCCATCTGAATCTCCCTGGGTAAAAAGTAGGTAACTGGTGCTATTATGGTCGAATTTCTTAGCTTTCTTGGCAGCAAAAACTCATTACGAGACTTTACCTGAGAAAAGCTTTGAAGATCAAAACTACAGTGAAGCATGTGAAGCGCTTACCCCAGAAATCTCTCTGCCATGCATTTCGTACATGGTGTCTTTTTATTAAAGGTCTCAGCAAACTACTCTGTGATAATGGAGTCTTAATGGCGTTCACCGATAGCCGTAAAAGAGCAAAATATTCAGTCGTTAGACTGTGATATTTTGAAAGTTTCAGAGTTTTAGACTGTTCAAGTCAATGTACTAAAATTAATGTTGGGAAGAAGAAAACTTTCTCTATAGTAACCCAACAGCCGTTTGATCTGTTTTAGAATTATGGAAATGAATTAAGATCGATTGAAATTAATTTTTAACATCTCGGTTAACCGTAACGGAGAGAAATATAGCATTATCCGTAATTTGGCCAAAATGGTAACCGTCAGCTGTAAAAAGACATCACCTCGCTGAGACCCTCGTAACTTGCCACACCCAGGCCCGTGGGCATCTGACTCAATTTTTGCTTTAGATCATCCCAAAATAAAAACTAAAGCAATATGAAGAGGCAAAACCAGGCCTAGAAACAACAACAACACAAACAAACAAACAAAAATCAAATAAATAAAAACAGACAATAAATCAAAGAAAGCAAGAGGAACTGAACCAAAATCATAAAAAAGCAGTTAAAATTGAAAAAAAAGGCGGTAAAAGATTTTGAAAATGTATCGGAGGTCTGCATATTATGATTTGAAATTACGATCTTTTTTTACCTTTTTTTCTTCAGTTATTGATGTTTTCTTGGCTGTCCTCCTGAACACCATATTATTCTATCCATATTTTGCCTGTCTCACAAATGAATGCAAGTTACTTGGCGCTATTCTCGGTTTCCTCTATGGTGTGTTGAGGTATGTAAGACCTTAAATTGTGAATATTTTCTTTTAATTTTTTTTTTTTCTGAAGCATCTCAGCAGGCCAGAATCTTACTTCCTCGAATCTTAATCGCTTATCGCGCGCTAGTAGCTGATCCAGTTGTTTACATGAAGGACCTAAGTTGAGAAGGTTTTCTGAACCATTTGCAGGTATAATGGGGAAAAAAAAAGTAAACCAGCAGAATAAAATGAATAAGCTAGAAACCAGTTTAAACGATCCGTACGTGAAAAATTTGATGCTTTTCTCCCGTAGTTTTGGGTCCGGCCTTTGGTCTTCAACCTGGGACCCTCAGTACTCAAGACCTTGAGACCACTTTTTCTTAAAGCATAAGGACTTTAAATAAGGACCGGTAAATAACACAACGCTATTTCTCCACTGTCGCTGCGAGGTTTACAGATGCGTTAGATCGTTGTGTCAGATATTATTTGCCTCATTGGAATAGATAATTCATTACCGTGCTCTCAAAATTTCTTCATGCAGGGACTTTTTGTCAATCTTGAAAAATTCTTGTGACCTTAAAGTCTTTACATTGAATAAATAAGTTGAAAACATGCGATTAATAGGATTATGGAGTCCTGCACTGGCTTTTTATTCTTGGACGAGATGCCTTATCAGGTCATATAACATAACCAAAGTAAAGCGCGCGCTCTAATTGGTCAATTGAGCGTCCCCCATTTGCCCGTGGGTGTACGCTGCTGACGTGAGCAAATGCAAACACTATTTTTCCGCGCGCGCTTCTTTTTTCTGGTCACGTAAGATTAGTAAAATAAAAGGGAACTCTTTAGCTACAATGCATCAATGTTATGTTATAAAACAAATGGTAAACACCACAGCGTACACTATTGAGTTATGGATGCGCTTGGGAGGTTTGCTAAGCACTCAAGAAGGTAGAGTGACTCTCGGCTATCGCCTCGAGCGACTCTTACGCTTCTTTCGTGCTTAGCAACCTCCCGCGTGCATCCATAACTCAGTAGTGTACGCTGTGGTGTTTACCATTTGTTAAATTTAACCTCTCGTCCTTTCACGGTTTGTCGGAAAGGCCAGATCAATGATACTTAATTCATTGACCTCCACTGACTTCTTTCAGATTTTCTTTTCAACTTGCGACACAGATACGTTGCTACGTTGCGTTTAAGGTAGAGACTTTTAAAGCTTATAGTTTAGATGATTATAAAAGCTTGTGTTAAGTTACATGTTTCTTTGCTTTGTTAATTTGTTTTGTCTCTGTTTTTATTTTTGTTATCATTTTTATTATTATTGTTATTATTATTGTTATTATTATTATTATTATTATTATTATCATTGCTTGTTTTTTTGTGCGTTTTCTTTTTCGGTTAAGGTTGAATAATGAAAGTGTGTTTGACATGTTTTCCTCTGAAGAAGAAAAATCAGTATAGCGGTCAGATAGCTACCCTCGGATGTTCAAATGAAGTTACTTTTTCAAGACATGATACTGTAATACGTATTGATCGTATAAATTTCCCACCTAAACGATCAGAAAGAGCGACTGTCATATATTAAATAAACAATTCATCGACTTATCAATTTTCCTCTTTGTCTCTCTGTCTCTCTGTTTCTGTCTCTGACTGTCTCTCTTCGGCGCAGTTAAAGGACAAAAAGCGAACGAACGAATGTTATGATGAATGCCAATATATCATGGGTTTCCGGCTCAAAAGCAACCACATCTAAAAGTAATCATGTGTTGTTTTTCCTTTTAGGAAATAGGATCCATCGCACTGACTTACATTATTTCCCATCTGCCGACCACCATGTGCCTTAGTTTTATTACAGTGAGATTTGCTTTCCTTGTGATAAGAAGAGTTAAGAATGTATGGTCTAAACGTTCTACGGAGTCAGCTGTAAGTTGGATTTTCTGACATGTTTTGTTTTTTTGGAACAAATTCAAAACATATACAACAAATATAGTTAGTATATCCTTGTGCAATTTACACATACAGATCGTGATCGAATGCGTTGTGCAAACTATTTGACAGATTGAAAATGAACAAATTAGACACAGACAACACAAATCCAGTAAGTAGCAAGGTGGAGGGTTCAACCTGGACCACCAAGTTACAATTACGACACACTGGCTCCACAAATGTGTGAAAGTGATGGATATGTCAATGACCGACTACAGTTCTAAAACATCCCCAGCTCAGTTAAGTACTGACAGTAAAGCATGATGGAATTCAAAGGAAGGGGTTAAAAAGGGTTTTTAAGGCGTTTTACGATCAAAACGCGAAAGAAAATGTCAGAACAAAATGAGATCCAAGATATATTTAAGATTCTATGAACAAACATGCAAAAGTGGCTTCACGAGGATATAACTAAAGCATTGAGGTAACAGTATCTATTTTTATTACGTCCCTCGAATGTTTTTCTCTAGGGAAACGACCCTTCCTCCCGCTCACTGGCTCATGATTCTGACGTTGTTCACGTGAAGTTCATTTTAGGCCAAAAACCTCAAATGTAAGATATCCTTTAACTTTTATTATAAGTTGGTCCTCTGAAAAGACTCCGTGTTTATGTTAGTGTCCTTGCCCTTGCCCTTGCCCTGACCCTTGCCATTTTCCCTCCAAGTCCTCGTCCTCGCCCTTACTGTTGTCATCGTGAACGTTAGATCAGGAAAATGTGTCAGCATTAACCTCAGCATTATCGTTTGCTTAATCCGTTTAGATACCCAGACAAAGCAGAGTGGTACTGGAAGATTCTCCACTTTTTTTACATGCCAAGGGCAGGTGTGTATATGGTATTATGTTACAACATAAACGATGTTGGTATATTTAGATTGATTTATTAGCATTTACTTCATGATTTTCCATCATTTTTAGAACCTTTTTGTTATCTATTTATTCATTTGTTTCTTTGATATCATTTTTAATAACGAGCTCAGTGCTATACGAATGGATTGGACTAATGAAATGGAAAACTTCTATGATTTCAGATTTCAAGTTCTCCACTCAGTTCATATCAACAGTCTTTCTCATCGGGATAGCTGTTTTCGAAGTTAGTACTCAGAGTATAAGTAGATGTCTTGTCTACCGATTTAGAGATAATAATCATCAAACTTTATGAACACTCAAAGCAATGAATTATTCACAAGTTAAAAATAAAGAAACCACCTAATGGTCGTTCCGATTTCAATTAAAATCCTATTTACAATCTAATCCTTTTCATTATCATCAATATTACTATTGTCCATGCTAAAATAAAAAAGCGTTTTTATTCTTCAAGAGATAAAATTACWCTAGCTAGCCCTAAAATATAATCATAATAATTTAATAAATTCACATAAAAGGTAAAAACAAAAAAAAAGTATATATAAAACATGGTAAAATTCATAAAACTACGTTGGGCAGGCGGTAGCGTAGTCGAGGGAGAAGTCCAAGTTAATGATATCGAGGGTTCTTCTGATGGATCGTCGAGATTGATGTTTTCATTCCCTGCAGGTATTTCGACTTTGTCTTTGGCGAGGATTAAGTTTATAACAGACATGTCATGTGTATTTTTCTTAACAGAAAACATTTGCCATGAAATGATTCTTACACAATTTTTTTCTCTATGTTCCATGTAGGTCTCACTGACATTTCTCATACTGTTGGGAGATCAGTCTAACGTTTTAGTTACCTATTTTGGCGTTGATGTACAAGTACTGAGAGGTGACGTATTACCTGTAAAAAATAATAATCTACCTGCTTCCTAAACTCTCTCAGCCTTGAAAAACTTGATGGTGTGAAACACGATCTTTCATCAGTGGTTTAGTCACTCAGTCCATAAGTCGATGAATCAAAACTTTCTCAAAACTGCTGAATATATTATAATCTGCGGAAACTGCTCCATAAAAATTAGTCGTATAACCAATGTTTATTATCATATTCTGTATAGGACGCACTGCATTCTGATAGGCCATATTTCCCCGAGATTTCATGGAAACTGTTACCGCCTGTGACCATTTTCATCAGAATACCTCGCAAAAAAAAAAAAGAAATCTCGAAAGGAGATCGTCCATCTCCTTAGAATGGTAAATCGATGTAAATCGCACTGAGAAGATTGTGAAGTTGAAGATTTTCCGAGAGAAGGTCGCTTTTATAGTAAGCCTTAATCACTAAAAGTGTGAGACTTCTCTCACGACTTGCCTATACAAAGTGAGGAGATCCAGAGAATGCAATTTTGATGTCGGTCGCATCGTAAACGTCAGCTCCAGTATCAGGGGCTATTTTAGCCTTTTCCCGGCGCCTGTTTAGCCTGTTCCCGGCGCTCAGTCGGTGAAACGTCTCGTGACTGTTTACGGCGCCATATTTGCAGTGGTGTGAAAAATAAGGAAGATTTTGTTCAAGATCGTTACGTGACCCAACCGAAGTCCCCCGCGTTGTTTTCGCTCCACCGCCATGCCCACAATAATTGCACCGTTTACTAAAGCACTGTTCACTTTTACTCTGTCTTACCACCTAATTGCTTCCTTGGAACATGTTAAGGTTGCTTTTTAATTTTCTGTTTGCAAGATTTATTTCTACATAATGTTGATTTCAGGTTGTCTTTACGGATCGTATATTTTCGCTGCTCTGATATATGTTATAACAACTCTTCATTTCATGAAGTGCCACAGGTACGTGTGACTAAGTTACCACATGTATTCGTTCTACCATGAATGGCTAACCAGGACGTTTTATGAGTTTATGGCGCAGTGGTGAGAGCATCCGTCTCCCACCGTTTTGACCGGGAACAATTCCCGTACCTTGCGTTACATGTTTTGAAGGTTAATTTTTCTCCGAGTTCTTCGGTTTCCCTCCAAGGCTTCAGGTTTTCCTCCCTTCGCTAGAAACAGTGGACAAGATAAACCACTACGTGGAATTTCCACAACTAAATTTCTACTCGATCTCGATGTCTCGTCTCCCAGTTGGCTCAATTGGTTAGAGCGCTGGACTGTTGTGCGAGAGGTCGAGGTCGATGGTTAGAGCCCCGGCCGGACCAACACTCAAGGTCTTAAAATAACTGAGGAGAATGCGGGGAAGAAAGTCTGAGGATTTTTGGGGAATCACATGGTTTCCAGGCGGAACAGAGGGAGATCAGTCGTCGTTAACAGAATATGAAGGGGGAATATGGATGATTGACAGCCAATGATACGCTAATGAGAAGGGGGAGGTCATAAATTAAATGATAAAACAAGGAATATTGCGATACAAACAAAACCCTGTGACCCCC